TTTTCATTTGCCCAAGTTCCAAAGAAACTCCCCACCTCCTTGTTTTTCCTCTGATAAGAATTATCTCCATGAAGTTTGTATTTCAAAGAGATGACTAGATAAGAGTTCCTGGAGAACACCAGGTAGAATATTTCCAGTCTCAAGCACAAGGAAAGAATGCCAGTTTTTCCAAAAGAACTGGCAGAACTATTTCCTGAGGTCAGAACTTTTACAGTATTTGCAAGCTTTTTGTAATAAATAGATGAGGTTTGGGGGATTGGTAAATTGGTAATAGGTGGATTTTGAATTGTTTCTAGAGCTGCATTTTTTGTTTTGTCAAGATTTGTGAAATAAGGGTAGTTGCTTTAATTCCTCAAAGAATTGGGTTGCAGCCTAAATGATATCAAGGGGCTGATGTACCCACCTAACCTCATTATTTTCAATTTGGCTTTTTAAAAATATATGTCAGGAGAGGATTTCCAGCTAAGATGAAAATAAAAAGATATCTATGGATTTAGAACTGTTTGTCTCTGGAATGTTTTAGTAAATCTTTCTACAAATGCTTGAGATGTTTTTCTTTCCCTCTGGATACATCATGTCATTTTTGCCAGGCAATTTAAAAAAAATTCTCTCGGTCTCATTGTCAGCTTCCAATCTGGTCAACTTCTTGCCACAGAACTACTTTAAAAAATTCGTGTAAATATCTTGTCACCTTTCAGCCAGGAAAATATTTCTGGCAGTACTGAATACTCCTTGTATAGAAAAGCAGTCCCTGAAGAGGGTAAAAGATACTAATTTCCCAAGATCCAAAGTCACATGCAAAGATAGGCAAGAGAAAGAAATGGCAACCTGCATGTCCCAGGCAGGCAGAAAGCCAAGTCAAGTTCTTAGGACATAAAAGAAACAGGAAGGCAATAGTTGTCCCTGGGAGAGAAATGATCAATAACCAACAGGTATGGATTTGGAAAGGAAAGGACAATATGAAGTTTTATTTTCCTTTCTTAACTGGACACTATAGACAGATGTTCAGGAGACCTAACTCTTGGTAAGAATTCTTACCCTTTTCTGACTTTTGCCAGTTCTCTCAGGATCCCCACTGTAGGCTCCACTCTCTATTAGGATTTGGCAAGGTTTTTCATTCATTTTAATTTTAGTTTCCCCTGGGCTTTTTAAGGGAATAATGTAACAGTTTACAAAAAAATCTGTCAGGGTCTTATCGATTCTGGAGGTGGGGGGCATTATGAGGGGCTCTTCTTTGTAGGTAAGTATGGGGGCATTTGAGTGGATATTGAAGAATTTGCACAAAACCTGTGAGGATGGTTTTTCTCCTTATGTCTCAGCTGATTACAAATGAGACATCAATTTCTGGGCCAGTGTTTTGATGATGGACTCCAGGGAGCATGTAATGAAGAAGTCCTAAGTATTGTTTCAGATACCTTTTGCATCTTTAATTTTTCATTAGACTTTTGCAAAGACAATTTGCATGAAGTTATTTTGGAATCTTAAAGCCTTTTGGAAGCTTTTAAATCCCAATTAAAATAGGTATCCCATTCTCTCTGCTTGATTTGGAAACCCTTGTTTGTAAATGTACTTCTTAAATCAATGATCTTGTCTCATTGGAATGTTCCCCATGATGGCCATTGTAATTCTAGGTTGTCTTTAGTTAGATTTTGCCATTTTAGTAGTATTTATAGCTTCTGGGGCTGTAGTTTCAAGACATAAAATAAGTAGATGTTCCAGAAGGTGGTATGCTCAACTCTTTGAAATTTGAGGATCTCTCTCTCTTTCTCTCTCTCTCTCTTTTTCAGCTAAGCCTTTGGGTCTCTTGGAGTCAAACTAATACCCACGGGGGCTGTGCCACTGGGTTGGGGATTATGTGGTGTTTTACACTGTGCCTTGTTACTTGGACATTTTCTTGAGGTTTATGAATGACTGAGTGTCAATCTAACCTGTTCTGTGACCAACTTATTCTACCACAAGAGTCTTAGAGTTTAGTAGCAGATGCTCTAACAGCTTTTAAGTGCTCAATCCATGCCCACCAATTTTGTAGCTTTTGACTTCCAATATTCCATTAGCAATAGCCTTTATCTACACAAAACAAGTAAAACAAAATTCTATTTTGGACCCAGCCCAGCTTTCAAGTTAGATCCAGTCCAACTCCAACCAGTAACGACCAGCAGTTCCCAATGTGGAATTTGGGGACTGAACCAAGGGCTGGGGATTCCAGTCCAACGGAGAACTGTGGAAAGCTAATTAGAGTGGGAGCTTGACACAAAGAGAGTGGAGCTCAGAACCAAGGAGAACTTATCCACAGCCCTCAGAAATGGTCAGAAAGAGAATTCAGAGGGTCTGAGGTATCATGCCTGTTTCTCACTGTTCCTGAAAGCCATCAGGAGTGTTCTTTGGATTCCATCACTGCTACCAATTCTCTTAAAAAACAAAACTCAACTGAGTACACTCTAGAGTCCTACAGGCTTTATTCAATAACTTATGAATCAAGGAGCATCCCACCTAGCAGATAGATCAGAGCTCCAAAGAGCTGCACAGAATGAAAGACTTTCATAAGCAGAAAGGGATGGGATAAGGAAGTTACTAGTGAAAAATGGATTATTTGTGGCAAGGTCACCTTCCTTTAGGGGATGGCAGAGGTCTAAGAAGCAGATTACCTCATTGGTCATGACCAGGTAACTCCAGATTAAGACTCCACTCTGAGGAGAGGTTGAAATGGTAATTAAGTTAGGTATTAAATCTCAGTTTGGTGATGTGAGCTTTGCATAAGTGACTCCATTTGGAGTCTATTATCTCTTTGTAAACAGTAGTTATTACAGAAACAGTATGGCCAGCAAAGTAAAAAAAATATTTACTATCTGGTGCTTTACCAAAAAAAGTTTGCCAAACCTTGATCTAAAATATGGGTTAAAAAAAACAACAACAAATAAAATCCCTGTGTGTCAGTTACCAAATTTAGAACTTACACTACATCAAAAATTAATGATCTACTACATATTGGCTAATTGAACATAATAATAATAATAAAATAATTTACAAGGTAGCTGGAAGCAAAAGAGGATATGTAAATAGATAATCATAGAATAAAATATATTTTAATGTAATTTATATCATGGTTTTTGATGTGAGAAATCTATCACTTGTAAAGGTATTGCCATTGCCATTGGACTTGGGAAAGAAAGCACACTCCAAACATAACTGAAACTGCAAACTATTTGAATAATAAGTAGATTAACTTTACTTAGCAATTAAAGATTCAATACTGACTTCAAGTCAGATATGTGTATATAAAACAACTAGTCTCTAATTACATGTCATAAATCAAATCCAAACTAAAATCACATCTGATATATAATATAAGCATTGTCCATTATTTTTAAAAAGAGAAAGGATTATCTAAACTTATATTTTAGATGCTGTATTAACATCTCTGAGTTGTATTGGACAGTGCAAGAGTTCAGGAGAGAAATACAAGACACCTGAAAAAATAAAATTACATATTGGAATTATGGGAAACCCACATTTGTTTATTCCTTTGTGCCTCCCAATAAATATTTATTGAGCACTTGTGATATGCAAATGGTCCTACCAAGTTCTATGAAGGATGCAAATATTCCTGTCTTGAAAGAATTTATCATCTTTGGGGAAAATAATGCATGTGTACACCCATAATTATAATACAACTTGGAGTCCGGTGAGTTCAGTAGGAATACAGGGCTATAGAGGGAGCATTAGAAAGAGAGTCTAAGAAGAAAGAACATTATGAGTAAAGCTGAAAATAGGAAAATAGAAGGTGTGTTTGGAAAATGTTCAGCATCCTACTGGCCACCATCTAAGGTACAAAAGGAAAGTAGTTTGGGGGAACTTAAGGTAGAAAAATCCACTGGGGGAGCACATGAGTAGCTTAAGGACCTGTCGAGAGTTTGTATTTATCCAGCAGGAATATCACTGGAAAAACACTGAAGACTGCTAGATATGGGAGTGATGAGATTGACCTGATGGTAGTCAAAAGGATAGGCTGGATGCGAGGTGAGCCAGAGACCAGAGAGGACGCAATTTCTAGTCCAGGGTGAGGGATTAAGATCCAACACTAGAACCATGGTGGATGGAATGGGAAAAAAGTCACAGAATGGAGAGGTATTGTGAAGGGAAAAGAAATGTAAGATTTGACAGTAAACAAGATGGGACAAAGTGAGGGAGAAAAAAGAATTAAACACTGAAATCGTTTCCTGACCTAAACAACAGGAAACAGCATAGTACTATCAACAGAAATAGAGAGTTCAGGAGAAGGAAGTGTTTTGAGGGAAATAATAAAACCCACTTTAAAAATGCTCAGTGGATTGAACTGTTGCGGGAAGCACACCCAGATGGAATATCTAAATAGGCAATTGGAAATGTGGGAGTTTTCCTCCCAAAGAAAGTGTGGGGCTGAACAATTTGACATGGCAGTCATCCATGGTCCCAAATCATTTTCTAATTACCCATAGAAAGTGGAATATAAGACCTGTATATAGTTATATAGTCTCACTTGGAAAGTGAACAGGAAAATAGAAATAAGCATTCAATTATTCAACAAATATTTATTGAGCATCTTTTAGGTACTAATCACTGGACTGTGCTCTGGTGACTCAGTGATGAGGGAGGGACACCAATTCAGCCCTCAAAGAGGTTGCTGTAGCTCATTTTTAGGAACACTGCCACATCTTCAGGGCTTCTTAATTATTTTGTGGTAGGGGACTGGGTGGCACAGTAGGTTAGGTGGCTGACTCTTGGTTTCCACTCAGGTTGTGATCTCAGAGTCGTGAGATTGTGCCCCATATGGGGCTCCACACCCAGCATGGAGTCTGCTTGAGGTTCTCTCTCTCCCTCTCCCTTCACAAATTAATAAATAAATCTTCAAAAAAATTATTATTTTGCAGTCAACAGTCTTTTCACAGTGGCCTTCCTACTAACTTAATCTGTCTTGTTAAATTATTTAAAGGCTCCTCTAATTCAGTTTATTTTTCTTTCAGGATACATATAGCGGTTTGATGGGTCCTCTGATTATTTGCAGAGAAGGAGTGTTGAATGAAAAGGGAAGAAGAAGTGATGTTGATTATGAATTCGTTCTCTTGTTTTTGGTATTTAATGAGAATGAATCCTGGTATCTGGATGACAATATTAAGAAGTATCTCAATAAAGATCCACGAAATTTTAAGCGCACTGATGATTTTGAAGAGAGCAACAAAATGCATGGTATATCAGAGGTTTAAAAAGAAAACCCTTGTTGATATAAGCTTATAGAAATTCCTATAACTATAGTAGGTCCCCAACCTCCTTCTCTGAACCCTTCCCCATTCCCAGGGGCACCTGGACTAGAGAAAGTCCTCTAGACCTTTCCTTCAGAGGGAATGAACTAAGCCATTGATTGGCTGCCAGGAAGGTCCAGTGCAACTTTGGATCAATTATGTAGGGTGCTCTATCTCAGAACTCTGGGATCCCTAAACTGTAAGATTGTAAAGTAATTCCTAAAAAATGAATTATCACTTATGGGTATATTTCTACAAGAATACATCATAACATCAAGCTAATCAAATTTAAGGGCCTGGTTACACTGACTCAGGGACATTAAATTCCATCACCAAATTTCTCTTTTATTGTGTCTATGCTATTTATTTAATTCTATGTACTTTAAGGTAGTTTTTTTTTTAAATGAGAGTAATATGTTCTAATTGACCCATTCGTACTATCATACCAAGATCTACTTCTGACCAAAATATATAAAAAGATAGGCCTTGCCCAAGGTCACAAAGCTAATTATTGCTAACACTGATTAGAATACGTAGGCTGATTTCTGATTCAGCTACTCCTTCCCCTACCATTTTGCTTCCCTTCCCCCCAAAGTTTCTGAGTATGCTATTTTTAATAAATGTAACTCATTTGGCTGTAGCACGATGCACAGAACAAAAATTTAGTAGAAAACAGAGGGAGAGTCCCCATCATGTCAACCCAGCTGGAGTTTGCTTTGGTCATTGTGAGGGCATGGGCTCAGTCCGTGTGAAGCTTTCCTCCTTTTGGCAATTCAGTCATGCTTAGGAACTTGCCCCAAACTAGTTCTCAGAAAGCAAAGAGTTAAGGGAATAGCTTCTAAGTCATTCAATTTTGACTTATAGGACCTTGATTCTCTGTGCTTTAGTTCACTCATCTATAGAATGGTATAAATAAGGGCTGCTTCAGAAATAAGCCTGTAACCCACTCTATAAAGAGAATGTGCAAAACCAGCAAGCACACAGACAACACCCTGCTACCCAAGACGTAGCTTTTGAAAATAAACTGTGACTTCTCTTTTCCGGCTCTCTTTTGTAAGGATTTCTTCATAACCTGGATTTTGGGTCTGGAATGGTGGGAACATTGGTGTGAGTACGATGGTTATGTGTTTATTAGGCAGATGAAAATATGGGTAACTTAAAGATCTTGAACCATTTCTAAAACCAGATTAAGTAATGACCACTAATCAAAGACTGTTTTCGTCTTCTTAGCTATCAATGGAAAGATTTTTGGGAATCTCCATGGCCTTATCATGAATGAAGATACGATGACAAACTGGTATCTGTTGGGAATGGGAAGTGAAGTGGACATACATACCATCCATTATCATGCTGAGAGCTTTCTTTTCAAAGTAAGTATTAGGAATATGCTTTGGGGAAGACTTTTTGAACTCGAAGAGTCAATGTATGTTCACTGTGAATAAAGATGACTTGTGAGGGTCATATTAGAAAATGGAAGAGAATAACGTGATTATACCCTCCCCCTGGTAGGTATTTCTTAATATGTGTATGTATTTTGTTGTGCTTATGAGAAACTCTCCAAGCTTCAGAGGGGAGTTTTTTCATCAGTTGTATGGGGATAATTTTTACCACTCTGGATGATGCTGTTAATACTACATATAAAAGCCCCTGTAGTAGTCTGTTCCTTATCCTTAACCTTCCCCCTTTTCTTTTACTTTCTTTTTTTTCCTTTGTTTTCTATGTCATTTGCTAACAGAAAAGCCCTATCCAGTAGATACTTCAAGCTGGCTCCAAAACTTTATCTTGTCTTTTTTTTTTTTTTTTTTCCGGCGCAGCTGAGCTGGGCTGGACCATGTGTGGTCTGCCTGTCTAGCATCAAGCTGTTCCATCTTGGTGGCACTGACTGTACAGAATCACTCCGGGGGGGCTGTTTAAGGAAGAGACTGCCAGGCCCCATCCCTGTCCTGAGGAATCAGCATACCAGGAATAAGATCTAAATAGGCCATCATCCTGGGGTGCCTGGGTGGTTTAGTCAATTAAGAGTTTGACTTCAGCTCAGGTCATGATAGTGGGGTCCTGATATCAAGCCTTGCTTCTGGCTCTGTGCTCAGAGGGGAATCTGCTTGTCCCTCCCCGTCTCCCTCTGCATCTCCTGCTGCTCGTTCTTTCACTCTGGAAAATAAATAAATCAAATCTTTAAAAATAAATAAATAAATAAATAAATAGGCCATGGTCCCAAGAACTTAGTGAAGTCTATAGGGAGAAAGAATAGAAAAGAATGATCACATCTAATCCGTGGAAGAACCTGCATTGGGCCTTTTATGGTTAAACAGCAATAAATAGTAACTTTAACAAATGCCTGATATTTCCCCTCTGTGTATTTATTTAACATAGTTAAGACACCAAATATTAGCCTACAATGACTATAGTTTACATATTAAATGGCTGCGCTGCTCTTCAGAACTTGCCTTTTTCAACTCACATCTTTAAAAATACATTAAAAATTTATAAAATTTAATAAAACTATAAAAATCATTCTATATGCCTATACAGTTATTTTGTACACATATAAACTTCAAAAATTTAAGTACAATTGCCATTGAGCAAAAGCCCCTTTATTTAGTGTACAGTTCTATTTGGGGCAGCACATACGATAGCATAATCAATACTGATTAACAGCCCCATTACCCCCCTTAAATGTCCTTCTTGCACTTTCTAGAGGAAGGTACTTTCTCATGCTTAACCTTTGGCAACCACTGATCTACTTTCTGTCTCTGTAGTTTTGTCTTTCTTGAAATGTCAAATCAATGGAATCACACCATCTACCGCATTTTGAAACTGGCTTGTTTCACTTAGGATACACGTTTGAACTGCGTCCATCTTGCGTGTTATCAGTACTTTGTCCCGTTCGATTGTTGAGCAGTATTCCAATGTGTGAATACATTGCAGTTTGTTAATCCACTTTCCCATTGAGGGGCATTTGGGATCTTTCTGGGTTTTAGTTATCACAAATAAAGTCATTGTTTCCCCTCCCTTTCCCGATGATCCTCTGCACTATTTCTTATATGCCACATATGAGTGAAACCACAAGATAACTGTCTTTCTCTGATTGACTTATTTCACTTACCATAATACCCTCCAGCTCCAACCATGTCGATGTAAATGGTAGGTAGTCATCCTTTCTGATGGCTGGGTAATTATTATATTGTATGTACAAAACACATCTTCTTTATCCATTCATCTGCTGAAGGACATCTCAGCTCCTTCCACAGTTTGGCTCTTGTGGACATTGCTACTATCAACATTGGGGTGCAGATGCCCCTTCTTTTCACTACATCTGTATCTTTAGGGTAAATAACCAGTAGTGCAATTGCTGCTGGGTCATAGGGTGGCTCTATTTTCAACTTCTTGAGGAACCTCCATACTGTTCTCCAGAGTGGCTGTACCAGCTTGCATTCCCACCAACAATGAAAGAGTGTTCCCCTTCCTCCACATCCTTGCCAACATTTGTTTTTCCTGTCTTGTTAATTTTAGCCCTTCTAACTGGTGTAAGGTGGTATCTCATTGTAGTTTTTATTTGTATTTCCCTGATGACAATATGGAACATTTTTTCATGTGTCTGTTGTCCATTTGTATTTCTTCTTTGGAGAAGTGTCTGTTAATGTATTCTGCCAATTTTTTGACTGGATTATTTACTTTTTGGGCGTTGAGTTTGAGTTCTTTATAGATCTTGGATACCAACCCTTTGTTTGTTATGTCATTTGCAAATATCTTCTCCCATTCTCTAGGTTGTTGACTGTTTCCTTTGCCTTGCAGAAGTTTTTCATCTTTATGAAGTCCTAATAGTTCATTTTTTGCCTTGGTTTCCCTTGCCTTTAGAGATGTGTCTTGCAAGAAGTTGCTGTGGCCAAGGTCGAAGGGGTTACTGCCTGTGTTCTCCTCTAGGATTTTGATTGATTCCTGTCTCACATTTAGGTCTTTCACCCATTTTGAGTTTATCTTTGTGTATGGTGTAAGAGAATGGTCCAGTCTCATTCTTCTGCATGTGGTTGTCCAATTTTCCCAGCACCATTTATTGAAGAGACTGTCTTTTTTCCATCAGATATTCTTTCCTATAGTTGACCATAGTGTTGAGCATCCATTTCTGGAATCTCTATTCTGTTCTATTGATCTATGTGTCTGTTTTTGTGCCAGTACCTTGCTGTCTTGATGATCACAGCCTTGTAATATTGCTTGAAGTCAGGCACTGTGTGGACCCCCAGCTTTGGTTTTCTGTTTCAACATTCCCCTGGATATTAAGAGTATTTTCTGGTTCCATACAAATTTTAGGATTCTTTGTTTCAGCTCTGTGAAAAATGTTGATAGTATTTGGATTTGATTGCATTGAATGTGTAGATCGCTCTGAGCAGTATAGATATTTTAACAATGTTTATTCTTCCAATCCATGAGCATGGAATGTTTTTTCCATCTCAGCATACAGATCTTGAATATATTTTGTTGGATTATTACCTAAGCAATAACATGGGTTTTGATGATAGTATAAGTTGCATTGTCTCTATTTCAATTTCTAATTTTTATTACCAATATATAGAAGTATAATTGACTTCTGTATAATTGATCATGTATCCTACAACTTTGCTAAATAGTTCTAGTAGTTTTTTTGTAGATTTTGGGGTGATGATTTCTTACATAGACAATCTTCTTTTCTGTGAATTGGGATGGTTTTATTTCTTTATTCAATCTGTATGCCTTTTATTTCTTGTCTTGCCTTATTGCACTAGCTAGGAACTCTAATGTTGAATCTGAATGGTGAAAGGGAATATCCTCGCCTTAGTCTTGATGGGGGCTGGGGGGGAAGTACTCAGTTACTCATCACTGAATATAAAGTTTGCTTTAGGGTTTTTGTAGTTCCTATTAATAAGTGGAATGAGGTTTTTTTTCTATTCTATAGAATAGATGGTTTGCTGATGGTTTTTATCATAAACAGATGTTAAATTCTATCAAATGTGTTTTCTGTATCTATTGAGATGATCACATTTTTCTTCTTTAGTTTGTGGATAATTTTCTTTAGTATATTTGTCATTGACATAGATTAATTTTCAAATATTGAACCAGTTTTCAATCTCAGGATCAATCATACTTTGTCACAATGCATTATCTTTTGTATATATTGTTGGATTCATGCTAGTATTTTTTAAGGATTTTACATTTATGTTCATGAAAAATATTGGTTGTAGCTTTCTCTTCTCATATAGTATTAGGGTAATGTATAGGTAAAGTACTAAGGTGTCTGGGTAATGCTGGCCTCATGAGTTGGAAGTGGTCTGTCCTCTTCTATTTTCCAGTAGGATTTGTTTAGTACTGGTATTATTTCTTCTTGAAATGTTGGTAGAATTTGCCAATGAAGCCATCTGGACCCGGAGTTTTAATTTATTAGAAAGTCTTAATATAATTCCAGTTTCTTTAATAGATAATCTGAACAGTGAACCTAGGTAATTTTCATCTTAAGGAATTTGTCCATACCATCCAAGTTGTAGAATTCGTAGATAGTTATTCATAATATTCCTTTATTATCCCTTCCAATGCCTGGAAGGTCTTAGTGATGTCCCCTCTTTCGTTCCTAATATTTGTCATTTGTGTCTTTTTTTTTTCTTGGTCAGTTTGTCCAGGGGGTTGTATTAGTTATTGTTTTATAATAAATTACCCCAAAACTTAGTGTCCTCAAACAACAAATGCTAACTCACAGTTTTTCTGGGTCAGAAATCTGGGAGTAGTTTAGCTAGTCAGTTCTGACCCAGCATTTCTCATGAAGCTATAATCAAGATGTCAGCTGGAGCAGTAGTCGTCAGGTTTGACTGGGACTGGAGAATCCACATCCAAACTCACTCATGGGGCTATTGACTGAAAGCTTCATTTTTTCACCACATGGGTATGCCGGGGTGGGGGGACTTCCCCCAGGGTGAGTGATCCAAGAGAAGAGAGCAACAGAGAGAGTCTAAGTCTTTTAGAAGTAGAATGCCATCACTTCTTCCATATGCTATTGATCTCACAGACCAACTTTCATACAATATAGAAGGGGACTACAAAGGTTATAAATAGCAGGATGCAGGGATCATTGGGGGGCACTGTGGAGGATGGATTCACATATTAATGACCTGTTCACAGAATCAGTTTTTGTTTTCTTTATCTCTATTATTTTTCTATTCTCCATTTTATTGATTTCTGCTCTTATCTTTATTACCTTCTTTCTGCAGATAGATAAATCTTACCGAGGAGATGTGTATGATCTCTTTCCTGGGACATTCCAAACCATTGAGCTGTTTGCTGATCACCCAGGGACATGGTTGTTACACTGTCACGTGTCTGACCACATCCATGCTGGCATGGAGACAACCTACACAGTCCTTCAGAACATAGGTACTGCTTTCTGTTGGGGATGATGTACCAGGCTTCCTGTAGGCCCTGAAAATAGGAGACTTAAGAGCCCCCAAGGGCTCAGAGTCATGTAAGAGAGACAGACATATAAACAGTAACTATTATAGAATATGATATGTGCCAACATAGAATGCAGAGTACAGGGCTCTGTGGAGATAATGGAGATAATGGTTAACAATGTAGGGACATGAGCAAACATTCTAGAAGCTATAATGCTTCAGATGGATCTTAATGGGTGAGCAGAAGCTTGAAAGGTAGATGGGGTAAGGACAGTGTGTGTATAAGTATGTAAAACAGTAAGAACTTAAGAAAGCCCTGCAGATACAAACAGGATAAAGTCCTCCTTGGTAAAATGGCATAACCCTTGAAATAACTCATGTCGTGAAAAGAATCTACTTTTGTTGTTTATAAAACAATCAATTTTGTCATCTTTGTCCAGACAACAGGATCCCTTACTCCACGAAATCTCCATCTGGAGGAGCATCTCACCCAGCCATAGTGCCCCCCAATGGTAATGATACCCTCCCTGAATCCCTCATGCAAATGGTCAGCATTCACTTCCTAGAGAAGGGCAGAGGACTGACACCTCACTTTTCTTTTCACAGGAGAACCTGGCAAGGAGCAGCTCTATTTCTTTGGCAAGAATCTGGGTCCTAGGGGAGCCAAAGTAGCCTTGGTCATCCTCTTCATCATTGGACTCCTCCTCCTGATCTCCACAGTGATTCTCTCCCTCAGACTGCGGTCGGCAAGGAAGCAGGTCGCATACCGGGAAGTCCAGTCCTGCGCACTCCCCACGGATGCTCTGTGAACCAGCTGGTCGTCCTCAGCAGGGAAACTGGACAAGGCATCGTTCATCAAGACAGGTTTACATTATATCTTGGATCAGGCTTTGATCCTCCAGAACACAATCATAGCAATTTGCTTTTACTTATTTATTTTTTTAATGGGCTGTGAATAATCCTCAGGTATAAAATACAGAAAGAAGAACAGGTGTGACTGAGAAAACACATTCTGTTCTCTGAAAGAGTTTGCTGAAGTGGGACAACCTTCTGAAAGATATCTCTATTTTCCTTTTTTTTTTTTTTTTTTAATTCTTAGATTAGACGGTGCTTCCTCAGCTAACCATCCAAGTTTCTAGATGGACGACTTTGGGAGTTATACTACTTCGGGCACCTAAGTGGAATGGCACTGATTTTTCAACACTATATAATGTTACATAAGATGTTTCCCTTAGTCATTTCAGGGAAAATAACTTCTTGAGGAGTTCATGAAAATGTCTAAACCACTATCTGCTGATAGAATTTGACCAAATGAAGCTTTTGGAGGCCTTAGCCAGGTCTCCTGGCCTTTTCCACTTTAATATAAATAGCCTGTGCTCTGTTTGCTACAGAAGGCAGTTATCAGCATTTTTTAAAAAAAATTGTGCTGTTTTTATGCAAACCTGCAGAGATACTTTGATGTTTACAACTCACGCCATGTTATATGTTTTTACAAAGTTTCCATGGCAACAGGTTTTTTTGCACTCCAAAAAATCATCCAGAGAATTTGTATTGTATTTTAGAATGTGGAGGGCCGGAAGTTCTACAAGAGAAGCATAGGATCTCCCACTGTGAAGCAGAGACTTCCTAAAAGTTACGTGGGAGCTCCTGCGTGGGAGGGAAGCTTTACAGAAGGCGAATCTGGACTTGAGACTTGAGTCTGATTTTTTATTCACCTAGCAGATCTTTCAAAGTCTGCATCTTCTAGGAAATAAAGACAGTCTCATCATGTGAGCAACACCAGGAGGAAGTCATCAGTGCAGCTGACTGGTGGGGAGAAGAACTCTCACAAAATTCTTGATTCCATGCCTCTTAAAGACAGCCCTTTGGGGGAGGAGGAAAAAAAAAAAAAAAACAGAAAAGAAAAGGCTAAAAAAAAAAAAGAGTCCCAGTTGTAAGGTTTTAAATCATTAAATTGGTTTTGAAGATATGCATTACAGTTTTCAAGACTCAAATGCAAAAATAAATTACCAGACAATTAAACTCAACCCATTCATTACAAGGTGATCCACACTCTCTGTATACATGCCTAAACGTTAGATTAAGATTGATAAAAGCAATTTTGCTTATTACTAGACTGAGAAATTGCCCTTAACTCAGGGCCAGATGCCCTGCGATGCCAATGTCAATGCCAGATGAGTGATATCGGTACATCTGCCTTAGCAGATCATTTGGCTGTCCAGATGAACAAGTAGAACCTAAAAAAATATTCTGGTGGAGGGACCTTTCCTACTTTCTCATCTTCATCTTGGTGAGGGAAAATGGGTAATTTGATAGAAGTTATAGTCTTACATAAAACAGGATGCGGATGCTAATAGTTCTGTTCTTAGTTGGCTTGAACGTCATATCCAACAGTGTACCCAAAGGATTCTGAATTCCAGCCTGCTAACCACTGACAATGTGATTTTGTAGTAAGTGTTCTACGGTTTTCATACATGTGTAGGCTGTATAATTTCATAGTGATAATTATGTTAAATGCCTTATTTATAACTCATCTAGATAACAAATTATTTAGTTTTTTTTCCCTTTTCTCTTAGTCTATTTTTTTAATGAAAATGAAACCATAAAGTAGTTTGATTACACACCATTTCTCTTTTTAATAAAGTTTCACAGATTATGAGATGGCTACTTGCCTTTTTTTTTTTTTACTATTACCTGATCACTAGACATAGGGCAGGGTTGGTTAAAGGAGAATAGTCTTTTAGATATTCAGCAATTATCCTTGTTATACCTGCTAAGGGAAATGAAACAGAATAACAATATGTCTCCCAAAGAATATGACTATCCTCAAACATTGTTTCCTCAAATGTACCATACTTCTTCCTCTGCCTCAGTCCTTGAGAAAATCAATTACAATTAGATACATCTCCTGTTACACTGAAGAAGTATCCTTGCTCCTACCAGGGCGGGTCTCTTCCTTAGCTCTGGACTTATACCTTCTTGCTCTCTCAAGAACTTCATTCCCTCAGTGTTCAGCTTTTTCTACTACATGAAGTCATCGGCAGCACCCACTATTAAAAGACAGAGGGCTGCTCTCTTTAATTTCATATCCCTCTCTAACCCAGTTTCTCTGTTCTCTTCATAGCAGAACTTTTTGCCTGTACCACCTCACCTCATGAATTCCTCAACCCATTCCAGTGACTTCCAACTCAGTGTGCCTTGCTCCCACCTCCCAGTCTGCTGTTGTCAAAATCAACAACCATGAAGCCATTTCTAATGGCTTCCTCACCTTGATCTCACTCAACCTGTCCATAACAACTGATGGCTCCTTCTTTCGAAATGTCCCATAGTCCCCTGGCTCATCACCATGACCCCCTTGCCAGCCTTCCTTCTTCCTTTGGCTCTTCCTTCTCAGTCTCTTGCTAGTTCCTTCTCTTCCATCTAACTTAAGTGTTGGCATGCCTCAGGCCTTGCCACTGGGCCCTCTTCTCTCTTTTGCCCTCGGGGGTAGGCTTAATAATGTCCCCAAAGATTTTGTGTCCTCATTTCTGAACCTGTGTTATTTTATATGGCAAAAAGGACTATGCAGTGAAGTGAAGGATCCTGAGACAGACTACTCAGGTTGTCCATAAATAAAAGTCACAGCACCCTTCTAATAGAGGCAGAGGGAGGTTTGTCTATGGAAGAAGGCCAGGTGACAACTGAAGAAGGACACTGTGCCATGGCTTTGGAGTTGGAGGAAGGGGCCACAAACCAAGGAATGCTGCTGTAAAACCTGGGAAAGGCAAGGGAACAGATTCTCCTCCAGAGCCTTCAGAGGGAGCTTGGTCCTGCCAGTTTCTTGTATTCCAGTGAACATGATTTTGGATTTAAGAGCTCCAGAACTGTTAGAGAACACATGGGAGCCATCAAGTTTGTGGTCATTTTTTACAGCCTTCTCCATATGTTATTTCATCCATTTCACTTTTAATTATATCCAATTTGTTTACCTTGGTATGGGACCCAGCCTGATTTGGACCATGCACATCTCTCCAACTTGATCTCCAACTCTTCCCTGCTCTAACTTTGATCAGTTCTTGTGTCCTTTCTGCCTAGTTCCTTTCTGCCTCAGGACCTTTGCACACGCTGCTTTCTGTGCCCAGAGTACTCTTCCTCTCCAGCACTCTCATCCCCTTCCTACCTTTCCTGGCCATCTTTCAGCTTCCCAGACTTTCCTCTGTTATTTCCCAGAGTCACTGTTTTCCTTTGTAGCACTTATCACAAGACATGACCATTTTATCTTTCTGTCAGTTTGATTTTCTTCTGCCTCTTTGACTGCAATGTAGGCTTCATGGAAGCAAAGACCCCTTTTTTTTGCTCATTGCCCCAGCCCAGAACACAGTGCAGATACATAATCGTTGTTCAGCAAATATTACTTAATTGAATGTATAAGCAGAACAGATGGTGTAGTGGGCTGGACTAGTCTTTGACTATTTTGGTTGCAAAATTCTCATATTCAAATGCCAAGGGTCTAAAACAAACAAAACAGATTCTGGGATGCATGCAGTGAGGTCCACAGCTGCTTTGGCTTCCTTCTAATGACACTGGAGCAGGGGTCGGGGCGGGGAGGAGCATGTATTATTCAATCCCTAAATGCACTTTACAACTAACAACAACAAAAAAAATGCAATGTCATCAAAAATAACTCTAACTGTCACAGCTAAGAGGGACTAAGGAGATGTGACAACTAAACACAGTGTGGCATCCTTAGATGAGATCTTAGAACAACAAAAAAGGATACAAGGTAAACATTAAGGAGACACGAATAAACTAGATTTTCATTAATATTATTACTGTATTAATAATGTAATCTGATCAACCATCAGATTTTGTATATTAGGAGAGAGGAGCAAGCGAATTTGGAAATTGGTTGTGGCAGCTGGGAGACATGGAAGCGGTAAAGATAGCGCTGGAGGCTTCTGGCTTGGGTGGATGGGTGGATGGTAGTGCACTCAGCCAGATAGATAGGGAAGACAGGAGTTCAGCTGGAGGGGAAGATGACTGCAGTCCCGGCCATTGTGAGTCCAAAGTCCTGTGAGCCATCCCAGGGCAGAGCTGTGTAAACTGCTGGATGTGCGTTCAGAGGACAGGTCAAGATGGAGATACGCCTGAGAGAGTCGAGGGCAGACTGCAGACGGGGAGATTAGCCTGGGCCCGCCCAGCTACAAAGGGCAGAGTAAGCAGCCCAGCTCAAGCAGCCTCCTGTTTAAGGGTCCCGTCAGCTGCAAAGATGTGGGCTAGAGCATCTCCTCCTGTTTCTCCACTTCCTGTGAGGGGTTCAGAAGCAGCTGTTTGCAGCCTCTAATCCCACCCACCCGCGGACAGCCGGGGGCAGGCTCCCGCATCAAGGCTCGGCCCACCAGCGCCGGAGGAAAAGCGCAGACCCGGGCAGCGATCATAGAAGTGTGAGACTCTGGCGCACGGAGGGCTCCCCACTGACCTCGCGCCTCCACTCGCACAAGCTCCCCGGAAGGGTCCAGAGTCCCCTCTTCTCCACCCCTGGACTGGCTTTTATGGCGGCCATTGCCCTTTGAAGCGTTTGCAGCTCCTTTTAAGCTGGTTCCACCGTGTAGAGTTGTTAGCGGGGCGTCAAGGAAGACCGTCCTGTCCACAGTGTGAAAAGCCGCTTTCAGAAATGATTTCCAAAAATCCTGGGCTAGGAACGGGGGAGGCTGAGGCCGTGGGGGGCGCGAGCAATTCGGAGGTAGCGCTCAGTGCGAAGATGTCTCTGCGGAGGCGGATCCCGGGGACCCCGCACGGGGCGGCGCCCACCCCGCCCGCGTCACCGCGGTTTCCGGCAACTCCACGCGCCCGGGCTCGCCGGCTCGTCCAGGGTCCCGGAAGAGCGCGGCGGAGCGAGCGGAGGGCCGGCGGGCAGGGGGGCGGCTTCGGGCCCTGGGGCGGGGCGCAGGGGTCGCGGGAGCGGCTGCCTCTCGCGCTTCCGGACGCGGGCGAGGCGGCGAGCGGCGCGCGCAGCCGGGAACCCGTATTGGGCGAGCGCGCGGGGGCGGGCCGGCGGCGGACGAGCGAGCGCGAGAGCTCCTGCGCCCGGGCGCACGGCGGGAGTCGCGGCGGGAGTCGCGGCGGCGGTGCTGTGGCTCGCTGGGAGCCAGGAGCACCGACACACAAAGGCTGGGGGCGCCGAGAGGAGATGTGTGAGCAACCGGGGACCCGGGAAAGGGAAAGCGAAAGCCGCGGCAGCGGCAGGTGACGGCGAAGGCGCGGTACCCGGGCCTGCCTTCCAGGGCCTGTCGGCCTGACCCCGGCGCGCCGCAGCCATGGCTATCGCCCACCTGGCCACCGAGTACGTGTTCTCGGACTTCTTGCTGAAGGAGCCCTCAGAGCCCAAGTTCAAGGGGCTGCGGCTGGAGCTGGCCGTGGATAAGATGGTCACGTGCATCGCTGTGGGTCTGCCCTTGCTGCTCATCTCGCTGGCCTTCGCGCAGGAAATCTCGATCGGTAAGGCCGGTGCGGGAGGGGCGGGGTGGGGCCGGCCGGCGCGAGCGGGCGTTATCCGAGGAGCCCAGGCCTGGTGGGAAGAGATTTTATTGCGCGCCCCTGGAAGCCCTCTCCGGCTGCGATGGGCGTGAACGTTGGGAAGAAAGGGAGCCCCAGCTTTATGTGTATTCTTTGCCCACGTGGTTCATTTTATACCCCTGTGGATCCTGTTTGCATCCCTACTGCTCAGTTCTTCTGCCTGCTTCCCCACTGATCCTCAGTGTGGCTTAGCGTTCATGTCCGGCTCTTAGGACCAGCGCCCTTGCCGTCAGATTTGTCGAAAACAACGGTCTCCTATTCCCTTCCCTCTCACCCCTGCATTTGTGTAATTACCTCAAAATTTGGAGCAGAGAAGTTCCTGAGTGGCTGAATGGAGGATGTGAAGAAAAGTACTCCATGAAATGTGTGTTCTCCCTTCATTACCTCACTTTGAGTTGATACTGCTTGAGACTTCAGCTCTGCGGGGTCATGAGTGCTGGGAAATGACTGCACCTGGCAGGTATTAGAGGGATAATACCAGAATCCTCCACCCGGACGGCATTGTTACGAATGTGGGATGAACAAGTCCCCATCATGTAGACTATCGTTTACTTATAATGACACTTCCGAGGTGCGAAAGTGTTTGGGGCAGGATCACGTGGCTAATAAGACCGGTCTTTCTCATCAGCTGTTCCGACTTACAACACAGGAGAGGATGCTTTTGAGTCAACCGGACAGCTATAGCCTGTTCAGTACGAGAGAAGAGAGGTGGGTGGCAGTGGACCTTGGGGAAAGCTTCTATGAGAAGTTGTGCTGGTCCTGAGCCCCGGAGCATGGGTGGGATTTGGATAAGCAAAGGTCGCTAAGATTTTGAGATTTCACAGAATGTTACCTGTTCCTGGAAGGAGAGAGACGGTGACTGTCCCTGCTGAGGCAGGAGAGTTAGTCACCATTCTTGGGATAAGAGCATGAATATGGGTCCAGTCTGTTAGAACAGAGGAGTACAGACTTGATGATTTTCAGAGTGCGAAGTTATTGTTTGAGCAGAGGATGGACCTGTTGAAAGCAGGGCTTAATAAACCTGATGGTAACATATAGGGTCTAGGGTCAAGGAGGGAAGTGGAACTAGGGAGGCCAGATGCCAGATGATGGGGCATTAAATGAGGTCTTATGCATACGTGGGGGCCAAGATTTGAAGGGGAAGGATGGGAAAGGATGATTTCTAAGAGATCAAGGAACAATAAGTGGCCCTTGGGTACCTAGTTTTTAATAGGTCAAGAAGGGTAGATATTGACCAGAGTTGTTTGAAAGTCTGCAGACCTGAGTGACTGGAAAATGGTGGTGCCTGCAGAGGGGAGAAGCAGAGGGAGAAGAAGAGAGACTCTCCAGCCGACTCCCCGCTGAGTGCGGAACCTGACGCAGGGCTCCATCTCATGACCCTGAGATCACCACCCGAGCTGAAATCAAGAGCCTGAGGCCTGAGCCACCCAAGTGCCCTGAGAATGGTGGTATTTTTATGGGACTTCTTAAGTTGCAGAAGGAATTGGTTAGAAACGGCTTATGGTGAGCTTGATTTTGTGATCTACAGCACTAAATTGTTCGACTTGGCAGGAAGTTGCCAAATTCCTTGTGGAAAACAAGTGGTCGGGGTTTTTTTTTGGTCTTTGGGCAGGCAGAGTCATGCAGTTTCTCCTTCCGCCTTCCAGCTGGCAAGGAGTTGGGACTTCTGGTAGAAAGGAAAACCACCAAGTAGCTGGGGTCCTGGAGATAGTCTCTCCTTCTGCAAATGTTCTTTGAAGACCAGCTGTGGGCTGGAGCCTGTGCTAGGCACTGAGGGCCCAAGAGCAAATGAGGCATGGTCCCCATCATGGACAGGCAGTGGTCCTGGGCCTCTGATGCCAGGAGGAGGGAGTTGGTTACCTTCTGTGTTCAAGCTTAACGTCCGCCCTCATAGTAGGGGCATTCCGGAGGCAGAAGCCCTTTCAACATGTTCAAGTTGATGGGCTGCCAGAGGGGCGTTCGGTTGGGATTGGGAGTCGGTTTATCCAGCAGCAATCTGAGCTTGTGCTAGGTGCAGAGCACTGCTGTGTGTTGAGTGGGACACGAGAGGAGGTCCAGGCATGGTCTTCTTCCCGCCCTGCAAGAGTTTACCCCCCATCTGGGGGCTGGGACAAACGTGCTGACTGGTGATGTCCAGCAGCAGGTGGTTCAGTGACAAGACAGTGTCAGGCTCTGAGCGCCCAGCCGCTGAGGGTTGGCGGGAACTTGGGTGATGCTGTGGAGCAGACTCCCCTTATTCTCACGGGCTTCCGCAGGGAGGGCAGGCACGGGGGATCCCAGCTGCACTGGGGAACACCTATTAGGTGGAGTGCTTATTAGATAGTGCCAGAAAGAGAGCAGGGAGGAGAAGAGAGGTACATAAATTCATGCATGGAGTCATGTCAGGCAGCATTGAACTTTGTGCAGTGTCAGCTCTTGGGTGAAAGCAAGAACAAGCAGCGTGATTAAGGAGAACAGTAACAACAAAGAGAGAGGGGAGAGATTCAGTGGAGCTGTCCCCCACCACTTCAGTCAGGAGCGCTGGCCCCGAGCACGTGTGAGACAGGCCTGCACACTTAAAACCCGGCTTCCTCCTCCCTCATGAGAAGTCCTCCCCATCTTGCTGGTGCCTCGAATATTCTTCCCAGGTTGCACTTTGCACGTTGCATTATAACTTGTTTACGTGGCTCCCTTGCTTATGAGTTACTCCGTATTCTGTTGCTCCCTAGAAGCTGGAGTCTTGCACGGCACGTGGAAGCCCTTCTATAAGGCTTGTCGAGTGAACGAGAGGTGGTAGGTTTTGGCATCATCGACGTTTGTTGAGCCTGGTGTGCATGATGGCTGTTCTTGGCAGTGGACGTCAGACCCTTATAGGACAGAGAACCTGCCCCTTGGAAGATGGTTGAACAGAAAAGATGGTCATAACCTCCTCTTGCAGGACTCGTGGCATCTGGGCAGTGTCAGAGGTATGCACTGGGCAGTGTCAGAGGGTGTGCACTGGGCAGTGTCAGAGGGTGCCATGGAAAGCAGAGGGAGGGGTGGCTTCTGACTCAGGGTAACAGTCACGAGCAGGGCAAGAGTTCGAAGGGAACTCTGAAGAAGGGTTCCAGATATATGGTGCAGTGCGAGCCGAAGCAGCAAGGCATGGGATGCCATGTGGCTGTGGGGCTTTAGGAGCAGGCATGGTCACGTGGGGAAAGGAAAAAGGGGGAGTCAGGTCAGTGCAGAGGTGCTGCTAGGGAAGAGGGTGCAGTAAATCTCACTGCTTTCCCGCTGCTGTGGGTGTGTGTATACAAAATGTGAAAATCACCTTTAGTGGCTACAGATACCAATTTTCCTCTCTTCCTCTGACATTGATATCCTGGTATACATCAGAATGTGTTGATTGTGATATGATATCCTCTTAAGCCTAAAATAACTTTTTGTTTTCCAGTTTCTGAAAACTAAACTTTCCATGAACTAGGAGTCTATAAAATAAGATCCAAGTCGTAAATGGGTGACAATTTTTCCTTTAAGGAAACATTTTCTTTTAAAGAAAGAGTTCTACCAAATCTGAAAATTTGCACAGACTTTTTGGAATTAAAAAAGTACACGTGTACAGAAGCAGAGTGTGGAAGATTGGAGAGAGACCTCACGATAAAACCGACTGGGGTTTATATTAAAGGCTTCTCCTTGGTCTTGGGCCCATTTTCTCACTAGTTCAGCCCACTGGGCTTCTCTCAGAAAAGAGGGACAGACCCTGCCCAGGCCACAGAGACTCACAGGTGGGGCAGTGAAGGACTGTTATTTAGGCCCTCCTGGGTGCTGGCATGGGGGGATGGGGGGCTGCAGGCAGAGCCCATGGCACAGAGATTTTGCCCCCCACTCCCCCTTGCAGCAGCAGATATGGCCTGGCGTGGTGGGCACTGGTGTGGGGCTGCCAGCACTGGGGAGGATTGCTGCGGGGGTGGGGAGCAAAAGGGGCTCTGCCTTGCTGTCTGCCAGCAGGTTGTGGGTCATCGTAGAAATGATGAGGTGTAGAAGACCAGAGAGGGTGTGGTGCCTGCAGTCAAGTTCAAAGCAACTCTGGTAGCCTTTGCAGCAGCCTGGGGCTGGGACTGCTTGTTGATCCTGACTGCCCTGCGATGGGGAGAATTACAAGCAGAAACATTCTGGAAGGAGTCACTAAGGAGACTTTTCTAAGCCCTGAGTTGTTGCTGGGAGCGTTTGGAAGGCTTTTGGAGCAATAGCTCCTGACCGTTGAAATGATGTAAGAATTAAAATATGGTCTGGTCTGGTGAGGCCTGATACTTCTGCTCAGCTCGCCTCAAACACTCCAGCCCCAGTTCCCCAGTGGGCAACTTGGGTATGGAGAAAAAAACAAGCCAATTTTGCATTAGCTGGTACACACCAGAAGTTTTGGTGTCCTCATGACTGGACTGGCAAGACTGGGATGGGAGCCAGAGAAGGGGGAACTCACTCTCTGTTTTACCAGCCCTCCCTTTTGCTCACCCCTCACCTTGCCTCATGTCTTGTCCACAACAAGTGCTCAATAAAAATATAGCAAAGGAAATGCTGGAGCTCATTAAGGACTCTCTGGAGTTGTCCCCTGGACTGTGGCTGGGCTCAGAGGGAGCAGGGGCGATGCGGGCAAGGGGAAGCATGGAAGACGGGAAGCCAGGTTCAGATGCTAAGGTTGCCAGGTCCCACCCAGTGCCTGGAATTCACCAGCTAGAGGCAGGGGTTCCTGGTATGGAGAGGGACACTTCCCAGTCGCTGGGCTACCCATGTCATTTAAGAACACAAGTCATGTCCAGTCATGGATTCCTTCCTGACATCTCCTCCCAATAATAGCATTCTCGGATACCAGTCATCATGGGAGGGAGCCAAGCTGCCCCACTTGACTTACAAGGGTAGGTTATATTCCAAGTACCTCAGATTCCCTTTTGCAGTTTTTGTGACAA